TTGTGCTCATCAGCTCCCGCCTTTTGAGTTAAGGAGGCGCCGTGCTGGCGTGTATTTCCAATGTCGCATCTAGCTGATGATTTGGGCGGCTGCAGGTACCGCGCATAGCTAATGCTTCGACCAAATGCTGTTTTGCATGCAAGTCCGGCGCTTTCACTTGGTACCTTTTGTGAGATTTTGGTGGAGCAGCCGCCCTCTCGCTGGTGCATGCTCAATTTCCTTTGCGATGGGTCAGTTGCTAGCTTGGCCCATTTCTTGTGCAACCTGCCCTTGGTCATCATTCAGGGAGGGGTCTAGATGCTCACTGTTCCCATCATGAGTCGTAGTTGCCAGCGTGTCAAGACGCACCTAGTACTTCATGCGTTGGAGCTTGGCCCCCAGGACCTTGCGCCTACGTCTCTTGTGCCATGTTTGCCAGCAGGCAAAATCCAGCAGCTGGTCAGGTGCACCTAGTAGTTCATGCGTTTGTTTGAGGTTTAGGCCCAAACCTGCCTGGGTACCTTTAGACCCTAATACCTTGGACCCGCGACCTTTACGGCAGGGACGACACGATTGACTCTCTCTGGCAGCAGCAGATGGCCCTCGCATGCTCGGAAGGTTGGCGACCATCAAGGCCAATAAGCCGGGGAGGTCAGGCATCCTTTTAAGTCCTCGTTCCAAGCCGCTGCTCGGTTGGACATCTCCAAAACACCCTGGAGCCTTGAGAGGTTTACGTACTTTCGGGAGCTACAGCAACTCCAGGGTCAGAACCTTGTTGAGAAGCCCGCTGCACCTCTTCCCGAAGAGGAGCTTCTGAAGACAGAGGAGTTGCCATTTGCGCAACACCAGAGCCAAGAGCCAGTGGCAGACGTGGAGTCGAGGCAGACCTTGTAGAGGCAGCAGCCCTAGCCCGCGAAGACCTGCAAGAACAGTCGGAAGAATCTGACATAGAATCAGCGCAAGAGCAGGACGAATCAGTGGTGCCTGCAGAGCCCCCAGATAATGAGGTCTGGTTTGTCCAGAACAGACCTTGGGGCAAGCTACATGTGGCAAAGCCTCGCTCCACAGCCCCCAGACCCGCCTGCGAGGCAAAGCTCTGTTTAGCAGCTCTGCGGGTAAAGTGCTTTGGCCACAATCTGCCTTGCAAGCGCAAAGCCTGCTGCGTGTGACAGACTCCTTGCCAGAGAATTACTATTACCTACTTGTCTCCCATGAACTTGCGGAACACAGCCTAAGCATCGCTCAGGTTCACGCCCTTCGGTCTAGCCCTCAGTTCGTTCACTCTCAACGTCGAGATTGCAGTTGCCCACTTAAGCTTTCAGGCTCAAGTGCTCAATCAACGATTTGTGAAGCATGGCAGCCCCGCCATCGGGCGACATCTCTGCAGCCTTTGCAGAAGGTTTGAGGGATTGCAACGTCCGCCCCAGCCTCAGAGAAGCTTTGCAGCAGCAAGTGCTGCTGACAGTTGAGGACTTTGCGTATGCAGTTCCCACGCTTTCCCACCTGGACTTTTGTAGCAACTTAGAGGAAAAAGTCAAAACAAGCCTATCCATCACAGACGCAGCCTCCTCAGTACACTGCGCCAGGCTGCCCTGCAGGAGGTCAGCCGTCGCAGTCTGCTTCAGCCCTGCCTTCACAAGCCCTGCGGCCTTCCACTTGGGCAGAGCGCCTGCTGCCCAAGCTGACACCCGAAGCCGCGGAAACAAGGCGAGACACATTCGTTCTGAACTATCCTGGGGTCCTGCTAGCTGCTAGACCTGGATACCATGCCCTCTATTCGCCTTCTCAGCATCGTGCGTCACAGCCTTAAGCCAGGACAGCACATTTGCTGGATTCCTTGGCAGCTGCGCCTTGGCCAGAAGCAGTGCCAGGAAGCAATGCATGGTGGCCTTGACGCACGAGAGATGACGCTCCACGGTCAAAGCCGCGTGGCTGAACAAGGTGCAGAAGCCCTTTAGAAACGCCTGGGCCCTGTGCGGTGCAGCCCACCTATTCAATCTCAAAGCCTTTGACAAGAATGTGTCAGAACTTTGCCTGCACCAAGACCTTTAGCCTCCGTAGCCCTAACATGCAAGAGCTTTTAGACGATGCCCTCTACGAGCTCACCAGTGTCAGAGTGACCTTAGCAGCCTTCTGCAGCCCCGCCCGCGTATACCTACTAAGCCCCAGCTGCCCTCAAGCCCCTGCAAAAGCAATGGCGAAGGTAAAAAGGGAGCCCACTCGTCGGAGCAGCCCAGGAAGAAGGGGAAAGGCAAGGGTGGCAAAGCCCTCGACAAGACCACTCAGCCCCCCTCCGACGAAGCCTGACGACTGGCCTGAGAACTGGGTCACAGAACTCAGGCAAAAACAGCTCTGCCAGCGTTGCAGTCTGGTCTTTGCGCCAATCAGAATTGTAAATTCCTCCATGTCTGTGCCGTGAAGGCATAGATCTGGACTGGCTCAGACACGCAGTCTGATAAGGATGCGAGACAAGCTGGACAGGTTCCGGTCAAAGCTTTCCCAGCCAGAAGGCGTAGTTTTGCATCCCCCACATGCCAGATGGAGGGAAAATGTTGTAGAAGCTTCTACGTGACGCGACCGAAGAGAAAAGCTAGGCTGACTCAGCTTTGGTGCCAGACTGGGAAGGTTTTTTCTTACAATCGTCTAGCAAGTCACAAGACTCAGGCCCGCCGCGACGGCAAGCCCTGGCCTGAACGCAGCCCGCTTGCAGCAAACTTCCGACGAGCCCTGACCTGCAGGTCCCGTACGAAGGCTCTTGGCTTCTGTCTCTGCCTTGCAGCCAGAGCCTCAGCTTTAGTTCCCTGCACGCAACCCTCACACGGAGGGGGAACCGGGGGAAAGGCCGCAAGCCTCCCGCAGGGACGGGCTCTGAGTCGCTAGAGAGGGGGTGCGTCCGAAGGACAGATGGGCTTGAAGCCCTTGAGACCCAAGGAAAAAAGGAGAGGTGCGCACTCTGCTGTTCGTTGTGGTAGGTCTTGGACAGGAGCAGCGCAGCCGCACAGAACACACATGTTTCACTTTAGAGAAGAAAAGTGCACCAGTAGAGTTTTGCTGTGTAACTCAGACCGGCTCGTCACCCTTGCCAAGACAAGTACGGATGGTCCAAGGAGCCTTTGACGGATTCAGGCACTGCAGCACTGAGGCACTGATTGGCCCAAGTTGTCATGCACGTCTGGGAGGCGCATCATGGCGGCAACAAGGATGGCGACAATTGCTGGTCTGGCGTCGGCGTGCGGTGCTCGCGCTGCAACCAAGACCTGACGATGACTTTGCAGCCCCCCAAAGCTTTTATTTGCATTGATCAACTTCTTATATCCCTAGAGGGCGCAACCCCATAGCATAATTATGAAAAACACGTCTCTCACAAGCCACCCGCATCATGCAGCCACGCCGCCACCCCCAACGATCCTGGAATGTACAGTAGTCATTTTTGCAGGCTGACGTAGCGTTTCAAAATCACATTGCAGATGCACGCTCCATATTGTTGTTGGAAGTCGTTGATGATGTGAGCAAAGGATGTTCGAAGTAGGGCGTCAGGGTTCGGTGTTGTGCTATGTTTGATACCAAAGGGAGTCCACGAGATCCCACAATTTTTAAGAGAGCCAATCCCGTTGGACGTTTTTGTTTTTGATTTTAGGTGTGGAAGTTTGGGGTTTTGGTAAGAAGGGTGCGACGTTTTGGCTTAGGAAAGGTGAAGGCATTCGTGGTCTTGATTTTCGAGCATTATCAGCATGACGTTTGAAAAGTATCTGTCAGTTCACAAGCAACAGTTGAAGAACGATTGTCACGCCACTTCTTGCTTGGTGCTTGTTACAAAAACGACTGATCTGACGTTTGTGCTATCTCTTCCCAGTGGTTTGCAGGAGTGAAAAAAAGGAAATCGACAGCAATCGGCGCTTTCAACTTGTTGGAAAGTGGGTGAATCTGCCATCTCTCAGATATTTTCACAGCTCGTCACACAAAATCATGCTGGATGCCACACACGGGAAACCCGTTTGTGATCGCCTGGGATGTGGCTGCTCTCTGATCCCCAAGCCTACACAAACATGGCGATGGATGCGCGTGACATTGACGTTTCAGACAAGCGACGGCGCGCTGGCATTGTCGCGCCCCTCACGCAAATTCCTTTTGCATTGATGAACACGACTGTAACATCTCCGCGTTGGCGCCATCGGTGGAGTTCAACACCACATGTTTTACATATGGCACCCGCGTCATGAAGCCAAATTAATGCACATTGTTCAAACTTCGACAGTTTCGGTATGTATTTACCGGAAATGGAACGGAAGGATTGCCGTCACGGTGTCCGTGATTCCATTCCCTTACATTGGCCACAACTTTGTTGTTGTTTTGAAGCATTTTTGGAGATTTTTATGCAGACAGCAAGTTCAAATGGATAAATTTTGGCGACCTCGGCCAATTTCATTCCAGCTGGAATTTTACGCAAGAAACGGTTGGTAAAATGGAAGTATTTCAGGCCCTGCAATTATGTTTCAGCAAAAAATTCCAAAGTGCGTGCACTTTTTGAGGTCCAGATTTCTACAGGGTTCGAGATTGGGTAATCAAGCGTGTGGTCGCGTTGTTTACCCCAGATTTACCACCTTGCCCTCTGATAACATCCCCAGCGTATGCAGCCTAGCGCATGTGTTAAGCCTCCAGCATGCGATTCTCGAAGCTCATGTCGGTTCAGTGGTTGGGATTCATCCCACCGATCCTTCAGGAACTTAGGTTCTTCGGCGCAAGCCATAGCTCGGGGCTACCTTTAATCTGGGTGGCTTTGCTTGTTGTGACTGCCTGGCTGTGCGGACTAGTCACTGGCCTGCTGCTTGCAACCTTTGTTCTGTCATCTGGGTGCCGAACGTGGCTGGGACGGATCCTGCGACTACTTGGCTGCTTATTACTGGACAGGCCCTTGGCGGGGCAAACTCTGTGGGAAGGCCGGCCGGAACAGCGGCGGCGACTCCGCCAGTACATCGAGGACTAGTGCGTGAGTGATCCTCCACATACGCCACGACCCTCAGGCCAAGCAGGTGACGAGGACGTGGACGAGATTACTGTCCGCCTGCGTGACTGCAACATTCGTGTTCGGCTGTCCCCTGATGGCCGGGCAGCTTCATCGCCTACAGCGCCCGCTTTCTCGAGCGCGTTCTTTTCTGTTGACTTCAGTGTTGTTACTAAAGACGTCAGTGCCAGAGTACCCCTTGCTGGGGCCGCGACCTTCGGCCTTGAGATTCTGGACCTCCTTACGCCCGAGGAGCTGGACAAGGTGGACCTTAAGCATCTCGAGTCCCAGGCCCGAATTCTGGGCTCGCTTGGTGGAGGTTGGTCTTCACGCGCTCGCATCGCTCGGGCCATCCGAGCTGGAGTTGGGGCAAGGGAGGTGTTGGCCGGACATCGGCTGCCACCTTCTTCGCCATCAGTGCCTGCGAAGAACAGATTCTACATTGCCTTGAGGACATCTTCCCGGCCCCAAGGCTTCTGGACTGAGAGCTCTCGCGTTTTCTTTCGGGAAGTTTCTGAGCCGGACGGTGCCCGTTTCGGATCTGAAGTGGTCTCCCGCAGCTTTGCTTCCAGTTGCGGAGAACCTGAATATGGAGAGGCGTGGTTGGCCTTATTCAAGTGCGGGCCGGGGGTTTTGCTATCGTGGCCCCGGCCGAGGACGAGGTTTGGGAAGCTTTGGCTGGCATCACTGGGGCCGATGGGGAGCCCGCTGCTATGACCACCGAATGGACGTTGGAGATGGAGACTTCTCGCCGCCGGCCGGTGGGAGGAGCAACTGTATTCTTGTGCGACTTGCCTTGGTCTGCCGTAGGGCTCTTCAGGCGCACAGGCGGCGTCCGACTCTTGCAAGGAAGGATCCTGAACTTCGAGTGCGAGGGCACCGCTTGCAGGCCTGTCCTCATTTCTGTGGGTGCTGCGCTGGCAGCCTGGATTGCCGAGACCGAGGAGGACAACCCCGTGCAAGAGTGCGTTACTGCAGAGGAGGCGCCGGGCGAAGACCAGCAGCCGTGCTCGATCGCTGTTTGCTTCTCCGCAAACCCTGCTTACTCCTGCAGAGCTTGCTCAACTCCGCGACTTGGTGGGGCCTGCGCCCGCGAGACTCGGGAAAGCCGAGCGAGAGGTGCAGCCAGACCAAGACGGACTGGCGGAGGAGGCCGCTGCACCCGGCTCGCTGGAAGAGGAAGAGCTGATCGGGCTTTCGACCACAGCCGACCCCCTGACAAGGATTCTGGCAGGACAGACGTTGCTCCTGAAGCAGCTGATGCCAAAGCAGCCCGACGCTCTGGCGGCCGCGCTCCAAGGGGGAGCCAGCGAACCTCGAGCGGCGGTGGCGTTCGGGGACACACTGCCCGCGAGATGCCACCCAGGACTTCTTCGGGACTACTTGGAGAAGAGAGTGGGGATCTCGGAGTTCCGCACCCTGGGTTACATGGTGACCTTCTTCGCCCATGGCTGGGCGGCAGCCCGAACTTCGAAGAATGTGGAGATGGAAGCCTTTTGCGGCCGCGGAGTCATGGTGATCGAGCAGATGATCCTGGACTCGGGCAGAGTCCAAGTGGGCTGGCTTCTGGGAGGGATGCCGGAGCCCTTCTTCAACACTGCTGCGGTGCAAAAGCGGTCGACCCTTCGACCTTACGCAAAGCTTGGGCCGCTGCCAACCTGGCGTTCTTGAAGGGCCTGGACTTTCTGGAGTCGCGCGTCAAGGCTGCCAAGGACAACACGCGTCAGCAGACCACCAGCGAGGCGACCGAGACTCCGAACGAGCAGCCGAAGCCAAGTGGAAGCCGCGCAAGGGAACCAAAGGGGCCGCCGAATGAGTTTGAGTCTAGGAGGCAGTGTACAGCCCTGCCTTTGGAACGTCCGGTCCGAGACCGACGCTTCCCAGTTTTGTTTTGGACGGCCTGGCTCGCAATGCCCCGACGCCTGTAAGCCCTCTGCCTCCTGTGCCCCCGCTTGTAGCCGAGGTGCAGTCATTTCCACTGGGGCAGGTGCCACAGAGGTCCAGCAGCAGTGCGCTCCCGGGCCCCATCCCCAATCAAACACCTTTCACCCTAAGGAGTTTAAGGGTCTGAACTTTAAGCCGGGGATGTCGCATGTTTTTGTTGATTGGGTCTATGGCTTTCTTGGCATTGCAGCTCGCTCACCTCTGTGCCTAGCTTACTTTATAGCCCAGAGCCTCCATAGACTCCGCGCCTGCGCCGCATATAAACGGGCACCTGCCCGTGATCCCTGGCCAGTGCCCCCGCCAGCACCTTGGCGGCGTTGGTCTGGCAATGTTTCTGTTAGAATGTATAGTAAGC